GGGACCTTTGAGTCCAGAACCACAACCTGTGGGTGTCAGGGTCATCTGTGGACATTGCAAGAATACTTTTCTGGTGAGGAGAGGTATTGGGAAGCCCTGGGGGACGGGGGGTGGGCAGCGGAGAAGTAGTCATGAATATATTTCTGAGTTATGATAATGAATCCTGAAAAGGTCTGTTTTATGAGGACCCATTTCCCAGCCTCCACTGCCCCAGGGCTCTCATTGAAGATGATGCTTGCTGCTTCTACTATTTATTGGTTTCTCTTTTCCTTTCTCCGTAGTGGACAGAGTTCACAGACCGAACCTTGGCCCGTTGCCCTCACTGCAGGAAAGTGTGAGTGATTAGAGAGCGGCATCGTTGAGCTGGGTAGTGAATAGAGTAAAAGCTACAGGGCCATTGTAAGTATCCATTTTTGTTTGCCTCCCCACAGGTCATCTATTGGGCGCAGATATCCACGAAAGAGATGTATCTGCTGCTTCTTGCTTGGCTTACTCTTGGCAGTCACTGCCACTGGCCTTGCTGTGAGTAACCTTGATCCAACCCCTTTCATTCTGCAGCCTCGTCTCTGTAGGCTAAGATTGGGGAAATGGCTATCCTAAAAAGAAGTGAAAGAAACTGTTTTTGTTTGTCTTGTTTTAACGTGCAGATGAACTGAAGTTGAAGGAGACTGATAAACGGTCTTCACTGTTACTATCAGAGTAGAAAACAGCTATCTTCTTTATACAGAGGATAGAAAAATAGAGCAGTGGTTTAGATTGAGTTGCTATTAGGAAACCTGGCTTGGTTGTCAGACATGAAGAAAAACTGACAGATGTCTGGGATTGTTTATGTTCCTGCCTAGTGGAGGGAGCTAGACAGCTGGGCCTTTTAAAAGGTCCCTGAAGGCGGCTGCATGTGGATAGGGGACAGAGACTGAAGCTTGAGTTCCATGTTACTGTTACTAGGGCTCCTACAAAGTGGTGAGAGATCAACAGTAACCTCATCTTCCTTTTTCTTCTTCATCAGTTTGGCACATGGAAGCATGCACAACGATACGGAGGCATCTATGCAGCCTGGGCATTTGTCATCCTGTTGGCTGTGCTGTGTTTGGGCCGGGCCCTCTATTGGGCCTGTATGAAGGTCAGCCACCCTGTCCAGAACTTCTCCTGAGCCCCACGATGACCCACAGACTGCCTGGCCCCGTCCAGGTGGGGACACTGACACTATAAAGGGAGTGATGGTAAAAGGCTCCCTGGGCTTCTATAAGGGGAGCCAAGCAGCTGCCTTCCTTTTCCCTGCAGAGAGGTAGGAAGGAACCAGGCCCTCACCTAGGTTTGGAGGAATAAGTAAACCACTGCTGGCCATCTGCTTTCCTCCAGTGGTTGCTGTGTTTAGGGTGAAGTAGGCGGAAAGTTTCCCCTAAACCTGGGTCCTAAAAGACGGTTCTAGCCTTGTCCTTCCTATACGCTCCCTGAGAGCCATTCCTGTCCCTTACACGTTCCAGGGCAGGGTGGGGGTGGGTAGCCCTGGGGGTCTCCCTCCCTCTTGTGCACCATTAGGACCTTGCTGCTGCTATTGCACTTCATCAGGGGCTGGCTCTGGTCTCAGCACCCTCAGTCTCCTCTCCCCCATTCCACGTCCTCTGGGGGTGGGGTCAGCCGCTGCTCTGTACAGAACCACAGGAACTGATGTATATATAACTATTTAATGTGGGGTATGGTCCCCTAGTCCTGTATTTCCTATAATTTCTCCTTTTCAACCTTACCCCCCAGTTGCAGTATTTAACTGGGCTGAGTAGGGTTGCTCTGTCATGGGGGAAGTTAGGGACTCATCCTGTGCTTGTAAATAAATAAGGTCATGACTCTACTCTTCCAGTTGTTAAATCTGTGTGTATGAAAGGATGAGGGGAATTTTTAGCCCCACAAAGGGGTAGAATACAAAGACAGCAAGGCTGAAACTATGACTCTTTATTTTCACATGGACAGTTCAAAGGAAGTCATCAGTAGTTTTGTTTAATGTAAAAAAAAAAGTATCCCGCCCCCCGACACACACACACATAAATCATGGAGAACTTAATTCTGTTTCTAGAAGCCTGGTTAAAGGATTCATAGTTTAGAAGGGAAATAACAGTGCAGATTTCTCTAGAGAGCAGTTTTTAAAGCTTGGGAGTAAGAAGTTTAAAGCTAGTTTAGTGGGCTTATTTCCCAGGCTCAAATTGATTTGGGGGAGGTGTCACAGTGCTAGATATAGAGTGATGGGACAGTGGTCACTGCCCAGAGCCTTGGAACGGATCTTGCTGTCACACAAAGCAGGCAACAGAGAGTGAGACAATAAGAAATAATCAAGGCGCCAACCAACGTTTTTGGATCGCGCGTTCATCATGTATGTCCAAAAGGTATAGGCATAGGCCGTGTTGGGGTAGAGGTGCCGGAAACTGTCAGTCAGTGGCACAGCCTGCAGCAATTCCCCAAAGCCATGACGCTCTTCTGGAGTGAAGCCAGCATTCTTTTTGTTTCCCTTTGGGTTGCGAAGATCAATTTCTTCATGAGCCACATTGAGGTCCCCACATAGCACAAGGGGCTTGCGGGAAGCCAAACCCTTCAGGAATTTGCGAAAGGCTTCATCCCAGCGCTGCCGGTACTCCAGGCGCACCAGACCTCGGCCTGCATTAGGTACATAGGCTGTCACCAGCACAAATGCATCATATTCAGCCACAATCACTCTGCCTTCCTGATCATGTTCCTCTTCACCTACAGAAACAATGAAACAATTAGCAAAAAGAAGTTTAAGAAAGGGAAAGCAAAGAATAAAGGGATCAAGAATTGGGGCTGGAGTGGGATATCAGCAACTGGTTTGGAAGAGCTGGGCTTTAGGAATCAACAGGGTCTCACCAATGCCATAGGAGACTTTGAGTGGGCACTGGCGGGAGAGTAGGCCCACACCACTGTACCCTTCCTTGTCTGAAGGAGCTGACCAGTACTGATGGGATAGTCCAGAGAGTGCTTGAAGTTCAGCTGGTAGTTTGTTCTCAGAACATTTGGTCTCTTGGAGGCACAGGATATCTGGGGCTTCCTCCTTTACCCACTGTGAGCGAAATGAAAGGTAGAAAAAGTATTATCAATTCAGCAGACATTTACTGAAGAATCTATGTGCTAAGTACTAGAGATACACAGGTGAGGGACTTCCCTGATGGCACAGTGGTTAGTTAAGAATCCACCTGCCAATGCAGGAGACATGGGTTCATCCCTGGTCCGGGAAGATCCCACATGCCATGGAGCTACTAAGCCCGTGTGCCACAACTACTGAGCCTGTGGGCCTAGAGCCCATGCTCTGCAACAAGAGAAGCCACAGCAATGAAAACCCCGTGCACCACAACAAAGAGTAGCCCCTGCTCACCCCAACTAGAGAAAGCCCGCGCGCAGCAACAAGACCCAATGCAGCCATAAATAAATAAATAGGACAGTCTCTGCAGAAGGAGTATAAGTCTAGCAACACAGTATTTGAAGTTATAAATTACATAAGTGGCAGGGAGACAAGAAAGAGTGTTCCATGCAACACTGAGAAGATTGGTTTTTTCCCTATAGGCAATGGATAGCCAGCTAAGATTTTTTAAGTAGTTATTTAAATGTTGGATATGCAGGAAATAAAATGGAACAAGTCCAGTAACGAGGTTTTTCTGACATGCTAGGAAAAAGATGAGGACATTAAATAAAACAATGGCAGTGGAACTGGTGGAATGGCATCTAAGAAATACAAGTGGGGGGCTTCCCTGGTGGCACAGTGGTTAAGAATCCGGCTGCCAATGCAGGGAACACGGGTTCGAGCCCCGGTCGGAAAAATCCCACATGCTGCGGAGCAACTAAGCCCGTGCGCCACAACTACTGGGCCTGCGCTCTAGAGCCCCCGCTCCGCAACAAGAAAAGCCACCGCAATGAGAAGCCCCCGCTAACCACAACCAAGAGTAGCCCCCGCTTGCCACAATTAGAGAAAGCCCCCGCTTAGCAACTAAGACCCAACGCAGCCAAAAATAAATTTATAAAGAGAAAAGAAATACAAGTGGTATGATTTGGTGAAAACTTTGTATCTCTGCCACAAGAAAACGACAGTGCTAGGAACTAAAATGGGAAAAGGTGATTAACCCCCAAGATCAGTACCCCGCTCCCCTTAATTCCACTCACATCTAAACCTTTCTTCTTAATCCAGGCTCGAAGCCCATCCACATTCCAGGAGCAGATCTTCAGTGTGGCTGATTTGCCACCGGGTGAGGTTTTCTGATCTGGGGGGTCCTCATACATGACTGTCCCCTCTCCTGCTGCCTCTTTTTCATTTTTTTTCGCTCCTGCCTTGCTCTTCTTGGCCTCTGGCTCTATAAAATAAGTAATACACAATGATGTAAGTTGGCGATAACCAACTTTGATCCGCAGTTAACTATAGATCCACCGAGAGCCTGCAGTTGCCGCGACTTCTTCACAAACTGCAAAAATGAGTATACAGTCGGTCCGTACCTCTCGTTCATCAAGGGAATTATAGACATCCCCATCGCAGCCTCTAGGGAGATGGGCCTATTTCATTGTCTTACCAATCTTGGGCTCTTCCCCGTCTTCTGCCACCGCTCCCTTTTTCCCACGTTTCGGCATCACTGTAACAAACACCCTTCTGCACCAGTTCCACGTCGCCCACCGAAGCAGTATATTTATCGCGTTGCCTACAGACGCAAAGAAGTAGTGAAACCAGCTAGGCCTGGGGAAGACTCCCCCCTCGGGCGCCCCCGCACCAAGTCCCGCCTTTCAAACCGTATTATCTCTGAATTCTTTTCCCGCCTCAGTGCACCATCGGCCTTTCAGCCCCTCATTCTCAAAACTAGATCATTTCATAGTGCCTCCTACCCTCCTCACGAGATCGGCCCTCCAGCCAATCGACGGACTTAATTAAGAATCCCGACTTAGGCTTGCCGATCAAAAGTCCTGAGAAGTCCCTACGATGGGCCAAACAACAACAACCCTGTAGCTGACCTGCTTGGGTCGCAGCCTGGCTCCTCCTTAACCCAGCACAAAGAATGGAGCACGATGTGCCCCCACGTGGGTGACTGGCGTGGTCACGTGATCTGAGATGCGCCTCCAGTGGCGGAGGAATGCGGGTGATTGGTCTGTTTGTACCACGTGACCGAAAGCTCAGCCGTCCCAGCCTTCTCCGTGACTCCGGGGCACTGAAGGCCCCAATCCTCCATTCTTGGGCTGTTCATCGCTATGCCAGAATCACGACTCCTTCTGCCACCTTGACCGGAGATCCCAGAGCTGTCTAAGAGAGAACAAAATCAGTGGAGAAGGCTGGGCTGGACCATGGGAGAGAGGCAGAGGAACGGATAGGAATTTAAGGAGCAGATGCCGACTCAGTGTTCCTGGCAGTTAAGAGAACAGGTCCTCGAAGGGGCCTTGATGGGTCGCCGTGACGACAGGGGTTGGAGCTGGCGCCGGCGCGCTACCAGCGGGAATTCTTTGGTATCTGTTCTGGTGCGTGCTGCTCCTTAGCAGTCACCGACTCGTTTTCTTCAGCGACCCAGAGTCTGCGTCCCAGCACGGACTGGTGCGGCCTTCACGGCCCCAGTGGTAGCTAGGAGCCATGCCGGCGGTTTTGGGTTTTGAAGGCAGCGCCAACAAGATTGGCGTGGGAGTAGTACGGGATGGCGTGGTGCTGGCGAATCCGCGGCGGACTTACGTCACGCCTCCAGGCACAGGTACGGGAGTAGGGAACTTATAGTTTGCGGCGCACTTCTCCGCACAGCATCACCTGCAGTCTTCCTAAACATTAGTGAAGAAAGGTGTGGAGCGCATTGTCCCCTCATAGTTTTTGATCTGAGTCTCTGAGATTATGTGACAGTGTTATCACAAGGCTGATGGATAGAAGAGTCACAGGCACTTGAACCTGGATCTTCTGAGCTCCTTCAGCATCTTTTACGTGCTAATCGTCAGCTGGCTGTTGGCTACAAAAATAGATGTATAAGCTTGTTATGGAGCTGGACATGTAGACAGAACTTCACATTACAGTGTGATAAATAGTAGATGCAGTCAAAATACACTAGAATGAGAAAGAGTGTAAAGACTCCCAGCCTAGGTGTAGACAGAACTGGCTGGCTTTGCAATATTCAGTAGTTGTTTTTGGACTTCTGTATTCTTGAAATGAGAACGGTAATACCTGCATCATTGGGTCTTGAGAATTAAAGAACCAGACACATTATCACTTTTAGTAAACGTTATTTGTAAATTATATTGTAACTTGTTTACCCTCCCCGCAAACATCTGCTTATGTAGGAGAAGGCAACTGACTTGCATATACCTGAAAAGCCTCTGTGAGCAGGCGATGTTGTGACAGGTTACTCATTAGGAATGTATATATATGTTTAGCACTCACTCTTGGCATTTGGGCACCAAGAATGTGAAGATAAATAAAATAGCCAGTGCTTTGAGATGCTCATGGTTAAACTGGGAAAAGTACGGATAATTATAATGCTATAATTGTTATATGTTACATGTAGTATGTTAAATTCAATGATGTGTTAAATTCATGCACACGATTTGTAGGGTCACAGAAGATCACCAAAAAGTATGAGATAGGTATCACTTGAATTGAGTCCTGAGTAGGAGTTGGGTATGAAGAAGGGCATTTCTGAGAGCTGTTTAGCCTAGCTGAACAGGCTGGAAAGACTATATCTGAAAACATAGAAGACAGGATGCTTGAGAAAAGGGAAAAGGACTCTTCCTACCCCACTAAAACGTCTGTTTTGACTTCTACCTCCCTTTCTATAGAAAAACTCTGTGATCTCTGACTTGTGTCCATCTCTTAGGATTCCTTCCAGGTGCTACTGCCAGGCACCACCGAGCTGTTATCCTGGACCTCCTGCAGGAGGCACTAACAGAGGCTGGATTAACCTCCAAGGATATTGATTGCATTGCATACACCAAAGGTATGGCTGGGAGAGTGGGTGACAGTGGAAGAATATACCTGGAGCCTGGCTAGGTCAAAACAGCCTGCAGCTCACCTCTGCTACCACCACTAACACCACCCAACCTTCACATCCCCTGCTTCCCCCGGCTCTGTTTTTCCCAGTCTCTATAGGATTCTCACTCCCATTTCTGTGCCCGTAGGTCCTGGCATGGGTGCCCCACTGGTTTCTGTGGCTGTCGTAGCCCGTACTATGGCTCAGTTGTGGAATAAGCCATTGCTGGGCGTTAACCACTGCATAGCCCACATTGAGATGGGCCGCCTCATCACTGGAGCCACCAGCCCAACTGTGCTATATGTCAGTGGAGGAAATACACAGGTATTTAACAGTACTTCACCGTTCCTTCTTTTTGTTTCCCCTCAGAGATTTTTCGTTATTTTTAATGACTGAAACAAAACAGGTCTAAAACCACAGCTTCTGGAAGAACCATTTGTTCTTGCTGGTCTTTCTTCAGACTTGATCTTGGCCTCTTGTTGGGCCGTGTGTTTAAGAGCAGGGTCTCTGAAGACATGCTTGCTGACAACAGTTTTTTCCAAGGGGATATCCACAGAGTACCTTGTGGGCATGAGGTGATTATAGTTATAAACTTTCACAAAAGACTTGATCTCTGACCTCCTGGCGATTTTCTTCTTGCCAGTGGTAGCCATCACTTTGCAGGGATAGCGAGATACCATCATCAGTGTTCTTCATGATGACCCACCAGGAGCAGCACCACCTTCCCAGGTTTCATGAACTTGTCCTTTTTTTTTTTTGAACTTGTCCATTTTGACGGAAACCACTCAGGACTACGGCAGAAAAGCTCCACCATTCCTTCTTAATTTCTAAGGCACTGTACCAACAACTTTCATGTTCCACCTGAGTGGTGGGAACTGCAAGAGCAAAGCTGGGCTCATCTGAAACTAAAATATGATATACTAGAAAACCCACAACAGAGTTTATGATATCGTATGTTTGGGCAGTATGATAGAACATTAGATGACCTTTATATATATGGCTGTAGAGATAAGGAATTTCCAATTTAGAGAAGGAAAGAATGGTAAGGATTGAAGTATTCAAAATAATGAAAGGATTTTCATTATTTTGAATCTTATTTTTCCTATGAATCTTAGCAGTTAAAACTAAGGGGCACTATCCCATTTGTATCTTTACAACAATTGCATGTTTTGTTTTAGTTACTGGTGATAAATATATAGAAGTTTTTACTCTAAGAGTATGAAAATATAAATAATTTAGAAAACATTTTTTGAATGGCAGAAGGTATTTTAAACTTACAGGTGAAGCCAGAGTTGTTTGGGATACCTTATAAGATCTTTTTAGGTTGGGATTAGAGAACTCCAGCCTTCCTTTCCCACATAACACCTGATGGGATTATTGTCAGGAATGGTCATTGTCTCCAGCTTATGAAAGGGTTATGTTCTAAAACTTCATCTTGTGAAATAGTTATTAAAGATGAAGCACAGGGGCTTCCCTGGTGGCGCAGTGGTTGAAAGTCCGCCTGCTGATGCAGGGGACACGGGTTCGTGCCCCGGTCTGGGAAGATCCCACATGCCGCGGAGCGGCTGGGCCCGTGAACCATGGCCGCTGAGCCTGCGCGTCCGGAGCCTGTGCTCCGCAATGGGAGAGGCCACAACAGTGAGAGGCCCGCGTACCGCAAAAAAAAAAAAAAAAAGATGAAGCACACATTCCCGTGAAAATGATGTGGCAACTTTAATGGGTAGAGAGCGAGTAACTGGTTGAGGCCTGAAGGATATCATACAAGGTCACGGACTTGAGGTGTGGAAAGTTTCAGTGGAAGCTTACAAGAGTTTATGGAGATGAGCAGCGATGGAATTTTCTGTTCTTTTCCTCCTCCCTTTTTTTTTTTTATTTTTTTTTATTTTTGCGGTACGCGGGCCTCTCACTGTTGGGGCCTCTCCCGTTGTGGAGCACAGGCTCCGGACGCGCAGGCTCGGCAACCATGGCTCACAGGCCCAGCTGCTCCGCGGCATGTGGGATCTTCCCGGACCGGGGCACGAACCCATGTCCCCTGCATCGGCAGGCGGACTCTCAACCACTGCGCCACCAGGGAAGCCCTCCTCCTCCCTTTTGAAGCCTGCTTAGGTGTGAAAAACAGAAGATGATTGGGTAGGGAAGTGTAGATGACAGAAGTAGAAAGGCAGAATTTTTTCTTTCCTCTTTTGTTGCCAGCTTTTGACAGTAGAGTAAGAGCTACATCCGAATGGAAGAAAATCCCCAGCAGCACCAGAAAGGGAAAGGGACTTATGGTCCTTAGGAAGTACTCACTGTCAGCAGTGTGGAGCATATGTGTCAGTGGGTGATAAATACTCTCTGTGCTAGAAGCTGGTCACGTATGAAGAATGGACATAAGTTGGTTGCCAGTGCTGAGTTGGATGGGCCATTAGTCTGACCCAGAATGGGGTTTTTGAGTTTGGGGTTTTTTTTGTTGTGTTTGCTGCACTGCGTGACTTGTGGATCTTAGTTCCCCAACCAGGGGTTGAACGAGCACCTTCAGCAGTGAAAGAGCAGAGTCCTAACCACTGGACCGCTAGGGAATTCCCTGGGATTTTTGAGTTTCTTTTAACTCTACCTTGGTGGTTTCTAAATACCACCACCCTCGTAGGATAACCTAGAAGAACTCTGGTTTCCTGCTTCCAAGAAGGAAAGCCTTCCCTGTTACACACTGTCTAGACTGCTTTTAAAGGAATATTGGGAAGCTCCAAGCAAGAAAAATGCATCCAAAGTGATAATTTGCTTCTCCCCTGACCTAGACTACCTTCTGTAGACTAGGAATCTCCTCTGGGAATCCTTGGGGTATATATAGACTTCTCAGATAAGCGCTATTAAAAAGTACCCATTGAGGGTTTGGGAAAGTAGTTTTTCCCATTGCTTATTGCTTTTTGGAAGCTCTAGTGACCATGTTGATCCTCTGCTGTGTTCTTCCCCAAAGCCAAATGCTCCTCTTTACAGACTTGAGGTTTCATGGACATCCTCATCACCCTTAGGTGATTGCGTATTCAGAACATCGTTACCGCATCTTTGGGGAAACCATCGATATTGCTGTGGGTAATTGTCTGGATCGTTTTGCTCGAGTGCTGAAGGTAAGCCATTGAGGCTACAGAGAACATAAGATGTGAATGTATTTGGGGAGAGCCATGGAAAAGGAGGAGGAAAGTAGTAAATTAGCTTCTTAAGCTTCCTGGATACCTGACTTCATCCTCTTTTTCATTCTGCTAGATTTCCAATGACCCAAGTCCAGGCTACAACATTGAACAGATGGCAAAGCGGTAAGGGGAATAAGGTGGAAGGAGGCTGACTGGTGGGGCGCCAGGGATTTCCCTGTATATGTGTTAATGAGGTTTGGGAGGGCTTTGGAGGGTGAGCAGCCAGCTGACTACAGGCTTAAGTGCCTCATATACTCCCTCCCACATAGAGGCAAGAAGCTAGTTGAGCTGCCATACACTGTAAAGGGGATGGACGTCTCATTCTCAGGGATCTTGTCTTTCATTGAGGTGAGTGTGGGAGAGGTGAGGAGATGGGCACTTCTCATGCTTTTTAATGAAGCACATGTGTTTTGCTCACCAGTGTATTTTCTACATATAGCATAGTACTGGCCCATGTTAGATGCTGAATAAATTCATTTAGCAAATATTTATTGAACATCTTTTGTGTGCCAGGTGCTGTTCAAGGCAGTTGTGATACAAGATGGAGCAAAACAAAAATCCCTGCCTACTTGGAGCTTGCATTTCATGCAGTGGGGGTGGGAGACAGAAAAAGAAACAAAAAAAAAAAAGAGGGGAAATAATAAAATAAAAAGGGTCAGATGGGGACAAGTGCTCTAGAGAAAAATTAACTGGGGTAGGGAATGGAGGATGCCAGGGTAGACATTCATAATTACTGAGTCTTTTTTTTAAGATAATCACAGTATTTTCTTTCTTTCTTTTTCTTTTTTAAAAAATTTTTTCCCCATAATTATTGAATCTTGAAAGACTTCTGCTGGTTTTATAGCTCAGTGCCAGTGAAGGGCAAGGTTGTCGTATAGGATGTACTGGTAAATTGAATTGTGGTGAAACATGGTGATACTCCAAGTGCACTAATTTTTTGCTCATATGTCATCCCCAGACCACAATTCATTGTTTTGTATGTTTTCCCCTTTAACTATAGGATGTAACCCAGCGGATGCTGGCCACGGGCGAGTGTACTCCTGAGGATCTGTGTTTCTCCCTGCAGGTAATGGAGTGAAAAGCTGGGACAGAAACTTGAAGCTGGAGGAGCTTTTATACAGTAGACAGAACTAAGCTGGGATTGTCTTTGATGTTTTCACCTTGTTTGCCTTCCACAGGAAACTGTGTTTGCAATGCTGGTAGAGATCACAGAGCGAGCCATGGCACATTGTGGCTCCCAGGAGGCCCTCATCGTGGGAGGTGTGGGGTGTATGTATCACTGGACTGTGCTTCTCTTTCCTATTTTGGGGCATGTGTATCCTCCTCCTGATACTCTAAATCTCTAAGGGTTTGGGGAAATTACTCGTTTTATTTCTTGTCCAATGCTTCCCACTCCTTGCCCCTGGAATCCCTACTTCGTTTTCCTAAGTCAGTGCACATGAGGTGTACAGCCAGACTGTGGAGAAATGGCTAAAGGTAAGCTAACTGTACCCCTACCTCTTTGTAGGTAATATGAGGTTACAGGAAATGATGGAGACGATGTGCCAGGAGCGTGGAGCCCGGCTTTTTGCCACAGATGAGAGGTAAAGGCCCATTCCCTTTCTTTATTTCTTTTTTTTTCCCCTCCAATTACTATGATTTTCCATGCTTAGATCATGAATTTCATACCTCTTTTCCTTCCCAGATTCTGCATTGACAATGGAGCCATGATAGCCCAGGCTGGCTGGGAGATGTTTCGGGCTGGACACAGGACTCCTCTCAGTGAATCTGGGGTCACACAGAGGTGAGCAGCCCCTTGGAGGAGGTAAACAGGATTAAATGGGAGGTAGGCAAAAATGTTCAGCAGGGAAGAGGATCCAGAATCGTGAGGGCAGAGAAGAATGGAAGGTGCTAAGGGGTAACTGTCCACCAAGTTTTTCCTATTTTTTTTTTACAGGTATCGGACAGATGAAGTAGAAGTGACCTGGAGGGACTGACAAGGTTAACAGAATCGGAGTAGATAGCGCCCTACGTGGAGACCAAGGGACCCTGGGCCTTAATCTTTATCCTGACGTGAGAATCCTGGCAAGGCTGTGGATGCCCCTCTCCTATCATTTGAACCTCAAGATGACTCAGCATTAAAAACATTTTTGTTTTTATATGTTGATAATCAACTTGTGTTCAGGAAGGATACACAGTTGGCACTGGATAAATTCTTGTTGATGGGGTGATGGGTAAGAAGGCAAGGGGTCAGAGCGGCACCCTGGCAGACTATGCAGGTTGCCTTGGGAGCTGCTGCTCTGGAGCTAAAATTGAGGGGAATCTCTTAGATATTCTAATCTCTTCTTAGTAATGCTATTATCATTGATACTATTTTAGCATCAGATCTTATGCTAATTGCTTTACATTTATCATCTCATTTAAATTCTTTGAAGTATAGGTACTCAGAATTTCCCTGAAAATAGCCTGAAGCCAGGTGTAATTTCATGCTAATTTATAACTCAAAAGTAAAACCATCCCTCTTCCAAACCCTTAGGCCTACAGACATTTCCATTGGCAGCTTGAGGGGGCGGGCCCCAGGTATACACATCTCTGAAATTAACAGCCAGTCATTAGCAAAAATCCCACATATGCTCAACCTTTTCTCTGTATGTTCCCTTTTTATAGTCCTGCTCTGAGCCCTGATTTCTCCTGAGGACTCTGCTTCTTTTAGTAGTGGTGGTGGTTTCTCTCACACCCATTGTACCACTGGGCCTGGAGGCAGTACAGGTGTCCGCATTTTTTCTTATACTGTATATTTTTTAATATTTATTTATTTGGCTGTGCTGGGTCTTCGTTGCGGCATGCAGGATCTTTAGTTGTGGCATGCGAACTCTTAGTTGCGGCATGTGGGATCTAGTTCCCTGACGAGGGATCGAACCCCGGTCCCCTGCACTGGGAGCATGGAGTCTTAACCACTGGACCGCCAGGCGAGTCCCTTCCTCATACTATTTTTAAGACTATTCTCTCTCATCTCTAACATACCTCAGCTTTGAAACACAAGTCAGTACCTGTCATAAATCTTGGTGATTTAAATATCCATGTAGATAATCTTTCTAACACTCTGGTCTCAGTTCTTTGCTCCTCCAGTGATCTTGTCCTCCACCCCCACTTCAGCTACTCATTCCCTTGGTCATATTCTAGACCTACCACTACTCCATATCTCAATCTCAAACATCCCACCCTCCCACCATTACTTCCTGTCTTTCCAGTTTATTCCACATGCCTTCACTTCCCTCCTCCCACTAAATTCCAGTCATGAGCCCTTTGTTAAGGGCTCACCTCCCTTGCTTCTCTGGCTTTTGTCACACTCAACTCTTCACCAACTTTACTCCTAGATCCATGCAGCTGAAAGGGCTGGGAAGAAACAGGTTGACTTGTCTTTAAATTCATTACCATAAAACTTGAGTGAGTCCTTTATGCTACTAGCAATATCCCCTGGTCCTTTTACTTGCCCTTCCTTTTTTTTGGCCATGCTGCATGGCTTGCGGGATTGGAGTCCTAACCGCTCCGCCAGGGAATTCTCCACTTGCCCTTGCTTCTGATCTCTTAAATCTCCAACATCCCTCATTCTCAGTGTTACTTTGGTAGAAAATAGAAACAATCAGAAAAGGTTCACAAGCTCCTACCACTATACCTACATACCTTCCAGCATTTATACCTGTAAGCTCTGCTTTCTCTCTTGTTATTGTATACCAGGGATTCTCAACTGGGACTGAGTTTGCTCCCAGAGGACATTTGGTTGATCACAACCAAAAGGAGGTGGTGCTGCTGGGTAGAGGCCAGAGATGCTGCAAAATAGCCTACAATGCACAGAACAGCCCTCCACAACAGAACCGTCTGGGCTTAAATGTCATTGGCGTCAAGGTTGAGAGATGCTGCTCTAAACAAACTGTCCAGGCTCCTGTCCAGCCAGTCCCATCATTTGGCTTTCAAGGACATCTTTCAACAGTTCTCCCTCCTTTTCTGTAGCGTCAGTATTCCCCTTTCTCTCCTGGAATATCCTGTTGGCACACAAATATGCTGTCATTTTTCTTACCTTACAAAGACATAAACCTCTCTTGACCCCATTTCCCCTTCAGTTGCTTCCAATTTTCCTGGTCAATTTTTTAAAAACATTTTATTACTACGTTTTTAAGTTGAATTATGTTGACTTACAATATTAGTTTCAGATGTACAGCATAGTGATTTAGTAAGTATTCTTATAGGTTATACTCCACTTAAAGTTATAAAATATTCACTGTATTTCTTGTGCTGTACAGTATATCCTTGTAGTTTGTTTATTCTGCTCTGTTTTATAGCAGAACATCTTAAAAGAGTCTTTTCCACTTTCCACCAATTCCCTATTCAGTCCACTGCAGCATGACTGTTCTCATCGTGGTCACCAAGGACTTGCACAAACCTAAATCTAATGGCATCTTCTGCTTTATCTTGCACAGGCTATCAGCAGCATTTGACACCCCCTCTTTGAAACACTGTCTTTACTTGGCCTTAGGACATGTTCTCTGGTTTGCCTCCTAGTTTACCAAGTACTCTTTCTTAGTCTGCTGGTTTCTCCTCATCTCCGTAGTGCTCTAGAGTTCAGTCTGGACTGCTTTTCTGTTTACATACATACCTGGAGTGATTTCAGCCAGTGTTACACATTAGAGCCATTTCAGTGTGGATGACTTCCCATATTTTTAGCTCCAATCAGGACTTCTGAATACCTAGCTGCTCTTGGCATCTCGACTTGGATGCTTAATAGGCATTTCAAATTTAACATATACGAAACTGAACTTACTTTCTCCCCAGCTTACTGCTGCAGTCTTTCCTATTTCAAGTAATGACAACTCCATCCTTCTAGTTGTTCATGTTAAAGTGTCTTGGTATTATCTTTGGCCCCTCTTTTTCATCTCCTCCAATTCATCAAATCACGTTGACTTTACCTTCAGAATACATCCAGAATCCAATTGGTCACTTCTCTGCTGCCACCCTAGCCCAAGCCAGAATTTTCTGCCTCCAAGATGAGGGGTCCCCAACCCCTGGGCCATGGACTGGTACCGGTCTGTCAGCGGCCTATTAGGAACCGGGCTGCACAGCAGGAGGTGAGCAGTGGCGGGAGGGCGGGGTGGGCGAGTGAGGGAGCGAAGCTTCATCTGCTGCTCCACCCCCCCCACACACCCCCACCCCCACCCCCTGCCCCCATCGCTCGCGTTACCACCTGAACCATCGCTTGCATTACAGCCTGGAAAAATTGTCTTCCACGAAACTGGTCCCTGATGCCAAAATGGTGGGGACTGCTGTCCAAAATTATTGCCGTAGCTGGTCTACCTGCTTCCACCATTTCCCCCTTACAGTCAATTCTCAACACAGCAGCCAGAGTGAATAGTGTTAACACGGAAGCCAGATTATGTCACTCTTCTCAAAACCCTCTGTGTTTTCCTACCTCAGAATAAAACCCAGAGCCCCTTAAAGGCCTGTAAAAGCCTCCATAACCTGCCCCACCCTTCCTCAAGTAATGCTTTGACCTCACTTCCTGCTACTTATCTCCTTGTTCACTCTGCTCCAGCAACATTGGCCTTTCGTTCTTCCTTAAACACTGAAGGTGTGCTGCCCCTCAAGGCCTTTAGACTTGTTGCTCCCTCTGCCTGGAAGCTCTTTCTGGAGGTATAGTCTTTAAGTCTGCTCAACTTTTTTTCGTGAGGGCTTCCTGACAACCCTACTTAAAATTGTACTCCTCTAGCGCTTTCTAGCCTACTCCCCTGTTTTATTTCTCTTCGTAGCACTTAGCACCTTGTAATCTAATAGTTGTTTTTATTATGTTCATTGTTTATCTCTTCTTGTTGAAATATAAACTCCCTGAGGGGAGGTGTAGCTTGTTTTATTCATTGGCATATCATCTCCCAGTACTTAAAAAAGGTCTGGCACATAGTGGACATTCAGTTAGTATTTGCTGAATGAATATATAAGCTGATGAGGAACTAAACCAAAGAAATAATCAAAGGACTATAAGGTAAGACTTGAGCTAAAAGATTTTAAAAATTAGGATTACATGAGCTTGGGAAAAGAGGAAGTTTCTGATTACTTACTAAGTAGAAAGTGATGATAAATACTTTTTTTCATTTACAAAGGATAGACACATAAATGGGTTGAAATGCATTAAGGCGTGGAGGTTTAAAGTAGAAACTTCGAGATGGAAGATAGAAGATAAATTCTTGTTGAATATATTTGAGAACAGGAATAATCTGTTTTTCTAGGCTTCGGGAGTTTTCAAGTATGTTATTACACAGCCTCAGGTATTTATTTGTAAGTTTTTATTAATGTTATGGGGTGGAATGGATTGTGGAGGAAGGACCTTCTTTGGCACTGCAGCCGCAGTTCGTATTGCGTAGTCGGGGAGTTCTCTCCCTAGGAAGCCTTGGGCTGTTGTAAAATCCTTGTGTGTCCAAAGCTTTGGGCTACCCAAGGGTGGACTCAAAAAAGTTTGTGGAGCCGGGAGATTAAAATCTTGGCTCCTTGAGTCCTAAATTATGGACTCCTCTTCCTAGCTGTCTTTCCTCCTGAGTCTCACTGACAGTATAGGGTGAGTGTGTGCTGCTGATTTCAAAAAATGAAGGCAATGGGGGATGTCAGGCCCCTAGACAGCATCTCCAGCCAGGTCATGTATAGGGCCCCAGGGCAGGCTGACTGAGGGATCACAGGTAGGCTCCTGTTATGTACGAAATGGAACCTGTTCCTCAGCTTCTCTAGCCATTGGACTAGTCCTACCCCTGAGCTCTATGCCCCTGCAGTTTGAAATCTTCCCAGATTCATGACTGTGAGGGCAGCCGTAGGACTTCATGAAGGCATGAATATTGCCATACGACTTTATGAAGGCACATGTGCCACTCTGACTGCATGGTTAGGAAAAGTGAGCAGGGACGAGGTGAGCGCCATTGTCAGTTTGTACTCTGGGATGACTGCGCCCACTTTAACAGCCCTGTTCCTGTATAACTACCTGCTTTTGGTTTGTCTTCAGGTCCTGCTCAGGGATGTAGCCTGAGGGAGCAGGAGTGTTGAGAGAGGTAGATGCCAAGTTCTCCTTTGGTGGTGGCTTCTGCACCTGCTGTAAGACCACCAAGTCTTCAAAAGCCTTTTGGCTACAGAGAAAGGAAACCCCAGATACAGAAGGGAACAGAAAGTATGTCATCCTCTGAAATTTCTGTCCTTGGGGATTTAGGGATAATAGGGCTTCTTCACTCTTTAGTTTTTCTGTTTTGCTGCCCAGCTGGCATTTCTTTCAAACTGGTAACCATAAACCTGTTCAGATGTAGGTAGACATTAGCCACTGTCTCCCCACAGCCAGCCCCACCCCTGCCACAGAAACTCCTCTTCCATCAGATTTCGGCTCCTCCTACATGAATCCACTTAAGTCATTACTGTTTTTTGAGCATCTACTCTATGCTGGGCAGTGGGCTTTATCTCTCTAACCTTCCCCTCTGGTTCACTCACCTGGTAGTAATCAGAGAGCCCATAGAGGCAAGACCCTGGCTCTCAACATCTGCCGAAGTACTAGCCATACTGGCACTCTGACCCTAGGCAGCTCCCACTCTGCACACCCAGGTCGGTCCTATGTCCTAAAACATCTCAAATCATACAGGAGCCTGGAAATGAGATTTAGGACACAAACACTCCTTCATGGGAAGAGAACCCCAACCCAAAGCAGTAGGACTGTCTAGGTACCACCAGTGCCAAAGCGGGTAATGGAAGTGTGTGTGCGTGGGGTTGGGGGGGACAACCAAATCTGATAATCAAAGGGCACTATACAATTCATTAATGAAACGAGGGATGGAGAGAACTGGTGAAGGAGGGGATGGGGGCCTACCTGCATATAAGCTACTTTTAATGTAATTGATGAATGCCTCTGGCTCATTTCATCACCTAGCCCCTCAGAGAAGCAGAAACCAGGGTTCCAGGTCATTCTGCACTGAAGGCAGGAGTGGAGGGCCTTACCAGCTGTGGCAGAGATGCCCAGGTAGGAAAGTATGGTCCACGTGATGGCAAGGATGGTTCCTTTGGGGGACAGCTGCAGCAGGGTCCTGGGAACAGAAGTTGAACCATCAGTGGAGAGGGAAGAGGGGTGATAGAGTGCTCCAAGCCTGGACATCCGTGTCACCTTGAGGTCCCTAGAGATACTGGTCCTGGTGAGTACCCCAGTGGCTGAGGAGAAGAAGATGGAAAACATACCAAGGAAACTGCCCTCTGGACCGTGCCCACCACTGCGGGACAATATTATGGAAGAAAATGCTTTCTACAGAAAGGAACAGAGAGAAAAGATGAGGTTTTGAGGAGCACCTCCTGCCTTCCTCTGTTCAGCCCAAATTATTACCCCTCTACCCAGTTTAGTGTCAGTGACTTAGGTTAGGCTGGGAAGCATAAGGGATTTTTGGCCCAGGGACTTAACAGGGCTCTGAGTGATCTGATGGCCAACTTGTGATTGACATACAGAATCAGAAGTTGAGGGTTCTTTTCTGAGGAGGACAGATTTCTCAGTCAGTTTCCCACTGTCTCACCTTGGTACCCAAAGAAGCCAGTGGCTTGTTGGCTGGGGTTTGTGGGGAGGAAGTCCCCAGCAGGTAGTTGGTAAGAGAAAGGAAGATCAGGAAGAAGAAGATAATCTGGGCCTGTAATACCTTGGGTGATGCCACCCCCCTCCACAGAGAGAGGGAGAAAGAGGGAGGGAAGAAGGGACAGAGACAGAGAGGTGAGTGGAAGGGAGGTAGTTCTCCTCCTCACTTTCCTTGTCTCATCTTCACTCTTCTCTCCAGTCCTCTCGTTCTGTTTCCTACCAACCTCCTCCCATAAAGGAATGTGGCTAAATGGGTGTCCTTTTCCTTCTTGCCTCAAACTACAAAGCATCCCTTCCCATGCCAGAGGGGTGAATATCAATGTTGTAAATACTGGGAGCAAGAAGCAGGGCATTTCTCATCTGGTAGTCATGTCTAGTGCTCATCCCAACAGATCCTCAGAAGGAGTCCTCCTTACTTTCCCCTTCAAAAACTGGCATGTGGAGTCTCTCCCAGCAGAACCGGCTAGCTTCAGGTCTGGGTCCCTGGAAATCTGCTTTGTCAACTACCCATGCACACAATCCCACATCTCCCCACATTCCGCCCCTTCCTGATCTGTCCAGCTCTCACTGCCATCCCCTTAGTCTTTTCACCCCCAGCTCAATTCCCCCTCGCCTGCCTTGGACTCCCACTCCACGCCTGCCAGTGCCAACGCCTACAAGGATAGTCACGGTCACCAGGCCCACCACCCGAAACTCATTTTCAAGATCCATATTTGGTAGCTGCACCCCATGCTCCTGGAAGGGCAGAACACAGAGGTAGGGGGTCACAGAGATTTTTTTTTTTTTGCGGTACGTGGGCCTCTCACTGTTGTGGCCTCTCCCATTGCGGAGCATAGGCTCCAGACGCGCAGGCTCAGCGGCCATGGCTCATGGGCCCAGCCTCTCCGTGGCATGTGGGATCTTCCCGGACCGGGGCACGAACCCGTGTCCCCTGCATCGGCAGGCGGACTCTCAACCACTGCACCACCAGGGAAGCCCAGTCACAGAGATTTTTAATTGGTACATCTGATTCTTAAAATGACTTGCCCAGGCTGGAGCCACGAAAATGCAAGCTGGGTGGTCAGCTGACTTGAGAAAAGGATGCGTGAAGGAAGGGAATGGGCATCACCCGGAACAGGTCCAAAAGGGTCTGTGTGAAGCCCACTGTATGCACAGCCACAGCTACTGCATAGGAGAAAGCAAATATGATTCCAGTGGAACTGCCAAGCTCCAGACCCAGGCTGTGCAAGACAAGGAAGTAGGTACCACCTGAGAGGAGAGGAAAGAAGAGTCAATCGGTCTCACCAACTCCCAACAGGACCGGGGGCCCTAAGAGGTCATGGAGTCACAACAGACTCACCAGCCTTGACTCTGCCATTGGTGGAGATGGCTGAGATAGACAGGCTGTTGATAGTAGTGACTGAAGCCGAGAGCAAGGTAACGAGCGATCTGAGCCCTGGAGTGGGATGGGAATGGGGCTCCTTTAATTCACTGAGGCCGAGTCCCAAATCCCTTCCTACTGTCTAGCAGAGTGCTGAACCCACACCTATGCCAGCCTGAGCAGTGATCCAAGGCAGCTGCAGGTAGAGGATGATGCCCCTGATCATCAGGGAGGGAGGAGTCACGGTCACCCTTAGCCCTTTCCTCTCACCCTCAGAGGGACCCTTGAGACTGTCCTCTGGAGCGAAGTTCTCTTTCCCTGCTTCCATCCCGAACCTTTGGGAACCCTAAGCACCAATCCGTTACCATGACTCCCATGACCCAGATAAAGCCAATGGGGCCTTGCCAGGCCTGGCCCCCGAATTCTCCACATCATTTTTGGGGAGTATGGCTCCACATGGGGCTCCTAAGCAGAGGTGGAAGTAATACTGTCCCCTGGCTGAGATGCCAAGACCCTGCCCCAATCAGCAGGTCAGCAACAAGAAGGACGGCCAACAGACCTGGAGGTGCTATGGGGGGAGGTCAGCCATAACGCATTTAATGGAGGGTGGACGATTGCACAGAAGAGCAGGTTTCATCCAACCTTCGGGGATTCGCTGTGGGGTATGGGTCCTGCCATGGTGGAGCCGAGCAGAGCCTCCAGAGACACATGGCTGTGGTGGAGCTGTCCCAGGACCATGGGGTTGGCAGAGAACGCAGATCAGGGTCCAGTGTCCTTGTCCTTGTTGGCAGAGGGAGGGCAGAGGCTGACCTGGGGTTTGTCTCTGCCAGATAGCGGTTCCTCCTCTTCCTGGTGGGGGCCCAAGGTGTTGGCCACCTTGTCTTGCAAAGGGGAGGCCATAAGAGGATCCACACAGAGGCTGGTCACTATTGCCCATTTCACAAGCCAGGACAACCATGGGCTGCCTCTCTGTTTACCCATTTGGAGGAGTGCAGCCCGAGGATTGGGTTCGGCTCTCTCACCACCAACTCCACGTTGGCACAGGGAGGAAACCCCTCGCTACGGGTGGGTCACCCGTGGTCGGTAGCCCTGACCCATGCCCCTTCAACTCCCACACTCCTCTGCCCTTGTTGGACCAGATGGATGGGTTATATTTGAGTTTCACGTCAGGATTGTTCGCTCCAGGGTCCCAGCTTTATCATGCACAGAAAAATTAACAAAGGCCAGGACTGACCCCAAACACACGCTTCACTCTTTCTCCCCACTTTCCTGCAGGTGTGCAGAGTCCAGACTTTCTTCACGCACCCCCTCCAGCCCAGTCCAGTGAGGAAGCCTTTCTGGCCTGGCTCACTCCACCAGATCCCCACATCCTACTTGGCTTCTGAATTTGCCTCGCTCAGCACCAGGGCATGACCTACAAGTGGAAGGGGAGAGGAGGTCATCTCAGGTCAGGCCCAGGGGATTGGGTGTCAGAGTTTGGGCACCTGGAGACCAGCCCCCAGCCTGCCAGCACTGCCTATAATTAGCTGGGTTCGGTCAGGGACGGGGCCCCGGGGGTGCGTTCCCTCTGCCACACTGTCAGGAGTAGAGCAGGCTCAAGTGAGAGGGCAAGCAGAACGCTGGTGTCTTAGGAGGGTGACTACTGGCATGGGGGCAAGACGGGCAGGGTACAGTTCCGGGTACTGGATGTTTACACATAGATCTTGCGTGCTTTGCTGCACCTGGGGAACCTCAGAGTCGCGTGATGTGGCCTACACGCTCGAGCCCTGGGATGGGGGGAGGGGGTTGAAGTAGGAAGAGGGACTGACATGTCGCCGGACTGGAGGCAGGGCTTCCTCTGGCCTCTGTGGGCCCAGCTCTTACCCTCTCTTCTCTTTCCTCTGCTTACCTGCAGCAATCCAGTGAGCTTGGGCCATGAGCGTCTCGGACTCGGCACATCGTCCCTCAGACCCTGAACAAGTCTCTCTTCCCGTCCAGAAGGACGGCCTTGGCCTCCCTTTGCCCACCAGGAGAACCCCCTCCTGGCCTCCGTCCCCAGACCAGGATCCTGGTTTGCCTCCCTTTCCTCTGGAAGAGCCTGGCCCCAGGCCCATGGCCCCGGGGAGCCTTCCCTCTCCAGCCTTGTCCCTAGAGAAAGAAGAGGAGGAGGAAGAGGATGAGGACGGAGAAGACGCAGAGGAGCCCGAGGAGCTGCGCAGCGAGGCGCATCCCAGCCAGTTTTTCGCGGAGGCACAGCGGCTGCGAGAGCAGAGGTTGTTGCTGGATGAAGACGTGTCAGTCGGGGGGCGAGTATACGGGGTGCATCGGGTGATCTTGGCTGCAGTCAGCAGCCTCTTCAGAGGCAGGTTGCTGGGCAGCAGAGGTCTGCAATGCCCCCTCAGCCTGGATGTAACCCCCGGGGCCTGGGAGGCCGTGCTGACCTTTGCCTATGAGGGGGTGCTGGGACCCGCCCCACGGGAGGATGTGCTGGTCGCGGCTGAAGCCCTGGGCGCACCCCGGGTGAAGGCTGCGGCCCAGTGGGGACGCGAGGGGGCTGGAAGCACCCGGGAAGATGAAAAGCAGCCCAGCCAGGCAGAGGAACTGAGAGAGAACCTGCGCACCATGGAGCTCCTGTACCAAGAAGGCATCGGGTGTGACCTGGAGCTGGAGGCAGACGGCTGCCGGCTGCGGGGTGAGGGTCTGTGGGGCATTACATTAATGCAGGCGCATATGCCACCTGAAATGGTGTGTGCAAGCAGCGGGTGGTTCGGTCCCTACCATAGTGGTTTTGATCCCTGCTGCGGTCAGAATTTCCCCAGGGTGACCTTTGGCACCTCTCCTGACCCACTGAGAATGGAGCATGCGCAGTTGAGTTGTTTTCTTAAGAGCACTGACAGATTTATGCTGTGGCTTTCCCTGTGCCCAGAAACAAGAAATTTACAGTCAGCTGGCTGGAGCTAAGGGTATATAGTCCATGCCAGTAGAACAAGCAGGAGGTGATTGACTCAAACAAAGATTAACCAAAGGCCCTTCTTGGCATCTTCTATTTAGGACACAGGAAAAGCCAGAGGAACACAGTGGAAAAATTCAGTGTGTCCTTTCCCCTAAGTGAGCTTGACACCATGGCAGTCGTGGACCCTACAGCTAGTGAGCAAGGTCTGGTACTGTTTGGCCAGAATCTTAAGGCTACCAGTTCATGGCACTTTGAAGTTAACTCTGCTCATCACCAGGAAAGCTGAAGAGGGTTGAATAAGTTGAGATTTATTCAGATTCTACTAACATTTAGTGAGGTACTGGGTACCAGGAATTTCTTTTACACATGCCATCTCTTTTCATCTCACTGAAAACTAGTGAGTTAGATATCATTATCCCTGGGTGCAGATAAAGAATATTAAATTCAGAGATGTTAACAGGTGAAAACCAGGATACAGGCCCACATCCACTAACCCAGTCTGCTGTCACTAGGCCATGCATTGCCTCCTATGCAGTCAAGTCAAAGACACATAGCACCTGGCAAATGGAGTCAGAGTGCAGACACATAAAAGTTTAACATTAAAAGGGATTTGTTTAGATATTATCTAGTTCAGCTCTTACACTTTATTGATAAGGAAGTCAGTCTTTAAGACAAGTCCAAAGTCACATAGCTACTGCTCATTGGAGGAATGACTGGCACCCAAAGTGCTTCTGGGACTCCCCAAAGGAAAAGGATCCTATCTTAGTCAGCTTGGGCTGCTATAACAAAAATACCACAGACTGGGTGGTTTAACAATAGAAATTTATTTCTCATGGCTCTGGAGGCTGCATCAGGGTGTCAGCAAGGTCAGGTTCTCGTTAGGGCCCTCTTTCTGGTTTGTAGATGACCACCTTCTCACTGTATCTTCACACAGCAGAGAGAGAGGGAGATCATCTCCCTCATGTCTCCTCTTATAAGGGCACTAATCCCATTCATGAGGGTTTCTACTCTCATACATAATTACCTCCCAAAGGCCCCACCTACAGATACTATCACGTTGGAGATCAGGGCTTCAACATATGAATTTGGTGGGGGCGGG